CTGTGAATGCTCCATCCCTGGCAGTGTTCAAGGCCAGGTTGGACGGAGTCTTGGGTGATATGGTTTAGTGTGTGGTGTCCTTGCCCATGGCAGGGGGGTTGGAACTAGATGATCTTAAGGTCTTTTCTAACCCTAACTATTCTATGATTATATGGTGTTAGCTTCCCTTTTTTAAACAGTTGGATATAGACCCTGTTTTGAATAGTAAAATATTAGCACGAAGGAAAAGTAAATAAATGTGTTGCGTATTTATGACTTATTTCTGGAAGAACACTGTTTACCACAGACAGCAGCTATTCTGCTTGAGTGTTTTAGAACTGCTCTCCTGTCAGCAGACTGATGTATTAAGACAGCCAAAGTGGGTATTATAGCCCTGAAAAACTGCAAAGCTTCCTGTTTCAGTAAATAGACTACTCTTCTCATCTTAATGGAGCATTGCTAAATGATCTCTGTGGCAACTGCAAGGAACCCAGAGGCTGCCTTCTGCAGTTGAAAACTGAAACTCCATAAATTGTTAATAAGCCTCAATGCTACACAGCCTCCATTTTCTGTTGCAAACTGATTATGTATTTGATATAACAGAATGATATGCAAGAGACAGGTCCCTTAGGATCCTCAGGGCAGCATCAGTCAGTGTGTTATTAGAAGCCGTGGGCCCAGCTGTAGCATGGAGTAAATCAGCCTTGCACCAGACAAACAGGAGTGGTACACCTGCTTAAGACATAGCAGATGCTTTCAGAACTAATTCATAGTAGATTATTAAAGCCTCAAAAATCGAAGGAAATCCCATCTGGGTGTTCTGGCCAGGAGAGTGGTGATACTTAATTGGTCTATGAATTTCTAGGTAGATTTTAAGTTCTTATATGTGCTGACTGTACAAGGCCTCATTCATATGATAACTTGTGACTGTGGGAGCAACCAAAGAAAACGTGCAGTTAGTGTAAACCAGCATCACTTTTCTTAAATTCATGGAGGACCCAAAACCTGTCATAAATGTGATGTGTTTGTGCTACTCAGCATGTGGTTAGCGCTTGGTCTGAGGAATAGTGGCAATGTTCACTTTTTTTTCCTCCGTGATGACTGTAGGCAGCTTGAACTCCATGAAACAGGGAGGAACAAGATTCAGAAGTGTTACGTTTGTTCTGGTAGTAATTCCAGGGTATACAGGCTCTCTGTCAAGATAGACCAAGGTTTTGATATTTATAAGGTGTTGCACAGCAAATGAAACATAGGAGAGATCATCTTAGAAATGTGTTGTCAGCCTTGACACTCTCATGACAAGTAGATATAGATTGGAGGAACATGGTGGTCCAAGAACATAAGAAAGATGTGCGAAATGGGAAGTCCAAGGGTGGAAGAGTAAACTTTCTCAGCACTAAAAAAAACAATAACACTGAAAACAAGAAGGATGATGCAGATGAATTATACTAAACGAGTAAGGTGGAAGGCTGAAGGTTGCACCTCTGAACAGCCCCAGAAGGACAGAAGCCAAGTTCCCAAAATCTCAGAGCACCCAGTAGAGGGGCTTTTGTTATGGAAGTCAGTGCCTTGTCTAATGCATTTGAGACCTATATCAAGAAACTCTGGTGGTATCATCTCCTGTTTGGGAAGCCCCAGAGTCACAAATCCTAAGGGAATGCTCAATAAAAGTACCCTGCATGTTTAGCTGAAACCTACAGCCTTCTTGTGGTGTGCAAGATCCATTCATCCAAGCATAGAGTGTTTAGGTAGCTCTGGAGTTGAAGTCATTGCTGCTACTGATGGGAAAGCGTCAGTGAGGTGGTTAGTGCTGCCTGGTGCCCAGTAATGAGAAGATGTCTTTTCTGGCAGACATCACTGCTTTTCTGGTAATAGAATTACGGAATGGTTCAGGTTGGAAAGGACCTTAAGAGCATCTAGTTCCAGCCCCCTGCCATGGACAGGGACATCCCACACTAGACCATATCACCCAAGACCCTGTCCAACCTGGACTTGAACAACTGCCAGGGATGGAACATTGAAAACTTCCTTGGGCAACCTGTTCCAGTGCCTCCCTACCCTCACAGTAAATAACTTCCTTATATCTAGCCTGAACTGCTTCTGTTTAAGTTTAAACCCATTGCCCCTTATCCTTTCGCTACGGTCCCTGATGAAGAGTCCAAGGAGGATGGCCCTCAGCTTTCAGTACCTCCCAAATCTTCCTATAGCCTGTGGGAACGGACCAGCAAGGACATGTAGGCCATGTGCAGCTGTTGCACTGGCAGGAGTAGTATGGTAAAGCCATTTGTTATGCTCTTTACCTTGTTCCGTACCATAAGCATAATCTGGGAATAAAGCTTGGTGCACAGAAGAGGATTGCAAAAGCAGATAATGATTTTCATTTATACCAGCATGTGCTGTGTCAGGCAGAGCATTGTAGTGCCTGGAGGCTTAACGTCCAAGGATTAGTGCTGTTGATTTTGTTCTGCAGGGGAATTCTCTTCTTTGTATGCCCAACGTTCTCAAGGTATATTTGGAAAATGGACAGACGAAGGCTTTCAGGTTTGAGACAAGCACTACTGTCAAGGTAACAATGCTTGGTTGTCTGCCTTTGTTCCTACCACCTGAATTTAATCCAGTAGTAAAGGCATATGCAGTGGAATTTGCAACCTCTTGGTTTTATTGGCCAGCTAGTGGAACTGGATTGCCAGCTGATGCTGAGCTTACTGGATTTTCCATGCTCTTCCTGCAGAGGAGATGTTGCTTTGATTCGCTCTGTTTTCCTCACTTCAACCAATTTTCACAAAACTTGCAAGAACTTGGCTACAAGACCACTACACTTTGTGAAGTGTAATTGAAGTTGGGCAAGAGTATATAGGTTGGTGGGGACTGGCGAATCAGCAGCTGTCCACACTAACATGTCTTACTTTGGAAACCACGTGACAGAATATAGAGGAAGTTGTTTAATATAGCCTGTCTGTGCAGTTTCATTTTTGCGCTGGTGAAAATGTTTCCCTGTGGAGACACGAAAACTGATAAACCTCTTGAGAGGGAAAAGCAGTACCATCTACCTAGAATCACTTGTGCTTGGAGGCATAGACAGGTTACTGTCATTCTCTTCAAAGTGCAAGGTGCTGTTTTCTAGAGCCACTAACTAGCACTTTACATAACTTCCGTGCTTAGACATAGACTTAAAAACCTTAGGATTTTCTAGCCTGATCTTTAGAGTTGATCAGTGTTTATGTTGGAGTTAATAAGATTTGCCTGTGCCTAGTGACTGGAGGCCATAATTTCTTTAAAGAATATATGATGTCCTGCAGCAGTGCAGTTACTGTAGAAAAAATGCACAATAAATAGGCTTTCTGGAGTTACCAGGATGAAAGAATGTTAAGGGGAAAAGCAAGGAGATTTAATTTATAATGCACAGAAAACTTTTTTCAGAAAGGAGAAATTTATTGTCTAGTTCATCCAAACTTCACAAAACTGTTGTGATCTCTCATGCAAGTAAGTCTCTGCAAGTCTTGTGACTTGCAGGGCAGAGAAAAAGAAAATAATGAAATAAAGCAGGGAGACAGTAAGGAAAGGGGAGATGAGTTGTAAAGAGAGGTTTGAATGCCCACCTGCAAGGGATTAATTTCTAAAAGACGGATTAGCTCTTCATGTTAGGCTCAACTTGCTCACCTCTGATCTGGAACAAATTTTTCCTTACTGCAATTGAGTGCAACCCTCACCAGTGTCCTAACAGAAACACTCAAATGGGTAAAATGCTTCTCAGGTTAGGTGCTTTCAAAAGTGCCTGTGCTGTTTAAGAGATCCTTGCTTAAAACTGCGGTGAGTCAAATATTTGTGCTTACCTTAAGAGTCTTGAGTGAATAAAAGGAGTTCTCTTTCGATTCAGTCAAGCCTGATACAGTGTTTTCTGTTTGCCAAAAATAAACCTAGTTATTTCCATGAGACTTAGTACTCCAACAGAATTCTCCATGCAACAGGAACACCAATTTCAGTCAAATCAGGTAAGGTTGGTACAGTTATGCTCTCAAATTCTTGTTTATTGGTGGGCCACAAGTTCTTTCTAGTTTCTTCAAAAAGTGTCATAGAGTACTAGCAAGCTGGAATGGTGAACAGCAAACATTTGAACCAAAGGTGACAAAAAGTGCTCAACACCACCAAACTAAAAACTGTAAAGCCAAAGCTTTCAGCATGGCTGGCTCTGAACGCCATCCTGCTGACTGCCTGGCTGGCGTGTTCTTTTGTTGCTTAGACATTCAGCTGGGACAGCATAGCAGCTAACTGCCAAGCTTGTGCTTGGTGTCCCAAAGAGGTTGCCATCATTTCTGATTAACTTGCGGGCTTTCGCTAGCCTTGAGACCTCTGTGGTTTGTTTAGGTCAATGTGTTCAGAAACTGTCAGTGAAGAGGAAAAGGTACTGGTTTCCTGTGAAACAGCACTAAAAATTTCACTGTGTTGTAGCACCAAGCATGTTCTTGGCTGCAGAGAATTTTGTGTCTGGCCACTGCCCTTTCAGTGCTTTTCCACATGCTGCCAGCAGCAGTCTAGAATCATTCACATTTGTGCGGTGTGCTAGCAGTGTTTAGCAACTCTCTCTGAATTTTTTGATCAGCTGTGGGCTTTCCCTTCCCAGGACATTGTTCTCACCTTGAAGGAGAAGCTCTCAATCCGGAGCATTGCGCACTTTGCCCTTGCTCTGGAGGAGCAGTACAACGTGGCAAAGATCCACCTGCTGCATGAGGAAGAGCTTATCGAGCAGGTGAGAGAAGAACCCCTTGCATGCCCCTGCAGGCATGCTGGGAGGAGGAAGAGGGGGCACCAGCACAAATTAATTTTGGCCAGTGAAGTGCAGAGAAAACTCAGCTCTGCAGGTATCACAAGAGGATGTGAACTTGGCCCCATCTCCAGAGGTGCTGTTCTCTCCCTGTTGCATGTGTTATCACAGCATTAACTAGAGCTCCTGGAGAAATGACACTTTCAGAAGTGTCTCACTCGATTCAGAGAGCCCATAGAACAATACCCATGGGCTGGAGTTGCTTGGACTGTGTAGAGCAATCAAGGGGATGAGCATGCTTTGTGCCACTTGCCCGCTCAGCCCATCTACAGATACTCAGATCTGTTATTTCAGATAATCTTAAAATAGCTGTGTAGCCAGCTGTTTACTGTTCCCTAGGTAGTCAGAGAGTTAAACCAGCCAAGTGCCACTTCGATTAAGTTCTAAATCAAAAGTTTGTGTCCTGCAAACATGAGGTTAGTTCTCTTAGTAATTCTATTGCTCTGCTACTAATTCTCAGCTAATCTAATTTGTGAGAATGGGCCTACTTGGAAGTCTATCTCCATGCTGTTGACTTTGTTGGTTGGTGTTGCACTATGATGCAGAGAGTAGCTAATGCTGTCCAACCACTGAGCATGTGTGTCTCAGAATTTCTGCTTTGTTTCAGATGGTAAGCCTATATGGGATTTTCCCAGAATAAAATATGCTAATGTGTAACCCAGGGAACATTGTATAGATATTATGATGGTGATCCAAGTTTCTATTTAGGGCTGCTGTTACCTTAGACTGAACTTAAAAGCAGAGATGCTTTTCCCTTTCTCTGTCATTATCATATGGCCTTGCAGCATCTGTCCTGGTTATACTGGCAAGTATGTGAGATCAATGGATATTTAATGAAGCTTTGCTGTCAAAGAACTTACAAGCTACCACAGGGAGAAGCAAAAACCAGGACAAGAATCTAAGATAAAATTACAAACATTAGCAATGTATCCTTGTATTTGCTGAGGACAAATGGCTAATCTGCAGTCATCCCACTTGACAGTAGCTTTAAATTATTTCTGAGTTACAGGCAGAGGCTTACTATGCATTTATGAAGGGAAGAACTACAGCAGCCCTTGTGGCATGATGTCGTTTGTCTGTTGCAGGTGGTCCAAAAAAGAGAATCTCATGACTACCGGTGCCTCTTCAGAGTTTGCTTTGTCCCAAAGGATCCCTTAGACCTCCTGCAGGAAGACCCAATTGCCTTTGAATATCTCTACCTGCAGGTAAAATCGAGGCATTTCATGCTTCAGGATCTCTTCTCGTCCAGTTCTCTTTTCTGCTTTAAACCAAAGCATACTTCAGGCCAGTTCATTTACATGATGTGAAATGCAGAGCACTTAGGAAGAGACCATTTGGAAGCAATTTGTCTTAAATTCTTAAATCAATTTAGATACTTGTCTTTTTAACAGAATGAGATTGAAATTAGCTGGGTGGCTCCCTTTATGACTCACAGTAGTTATATCAGAAGCCTTAATCTGACTTCTTGAGCTCACATCATTATGCTAACTCAGATCTATTTGTTCCAGAGCTGCAGCGATGTGCTTCAGGAAAGATTTGCTGTGGAAATGAAATGCAGTGTGGCATTACGTCTGGCTGCTCTGCACATACAGGAGAGGATCTATGCTTGTGCTCAGCCACAGAAAGTATCCTTGAAATACATTGAGTAAGTTCCTGAATTTCTGCGCTATGTTGTGGCTAAGTCTGGCAGAACAAGGAGCCAGCTAAAAGTGGCATAAGCTCTGTTTGCCTAGTGTTTAGCTCTGGATGGAAGACTGTCTCTGACCCAAAAAGACTGCAGTCTTTTAGTTGTGCCAGTGAATTTGAGTCAAGGTGGCTTCAGGGATTGTCTTCAACCTGCTG